GAAGATTTCAGGTTCAAGACCCTATCTAAAAAATTTAAATTTAAATAGCTCAGAAGCTGGGGAGTGTGGGTGGCCTCCAGAAGATATCAAAGGAAAAAGTGTTGGGGGGGGAAGCTTCCCACAAATTTTAAGGGGGAAAAAAATCCTGGCCTATACCTTGCTTTTAGTCCAGTGAGATCATGTTGGGACTTCTTTTTATTTATTTATTTGTTTGTTTGTTTGTTTGTTTATTTCCCAGTCGTGGGTCTTGAACTCTGGGATTGGGCGCTGTCCCTGCGCTCTTCAGCTCAAGGCGAGCACTCTACCACTTGAGCCACAGTTCCACAGTGTTCTAGTGTTTTTTTTTTGGAGATAAGAGTCTCATGGACTTTCCTGCCCAGGCTGGCTTTGAACTGTGATCCTCAGATCTCAGCCTCCTAAGTAGCTAGGATTAAAGGCGTGAGCCACCAGCGCCCGGCTTCATTTTAGGACTTCTAATTTTAAGAAATGTAATATGATAAATTAGTGCTTTTTCAAGAAATTAACAAAAAATAAAGAGTATATTGGACCTCAAGAAACATAGTATGATAAAACTAGTGGGTTGTTCTTGCCAATCCTGAGGCTTGAACTCTGCCTCTGGACAGTCCCTTAACTTCTTTTGCTTAAGACTAGCACTCTACCACTAAGCCACATTCCCAGTCCACTAGTGTTTTTTTAAGACATTAACAAACAGTTGAGCACTAGTGGCTCATACTTGTAATCCTAGCTACTCAGGAGGCTGAGATCAGAGGGTTGAAGTTCAAAGCCAGCCAGGGTGGGAAAGATTCTTACTTCCAATAAGCAAGTAAAAAGCCAGAAGTGGTGTGGTGGCTCAAGTGGCAGCACACTGCCTTTGAGCAAAAGGTACAGTGCTCAGACTTGGAGTTCAAGTCCCGGTACCAGCACAGAAAAAAGAAAAGGAAAGAAAAGACAAGAAAAGGAAGGAAGGAAGGAAGGAAGGAAGGAAGGAAGGAAGGAAGGAAGGAAGGAAGGAAGGAAGGAAGGAAGGAAGGAAGGAAGGAAGGGAGAGAAAGGGAGGAAGGGAGGGAGGGAGGGAGGGAGGAGGAAAGGAGGGAGGGAGGGAGGGAGGAAATAGGCCTGATGTAATCCTAGCTACTCAGGAGGCTTGAGATCTAAGGATCATGGTTTGAAGACAGCCTGGGCAAGAAAGTCCTGGTTAGACTCTTATCTCCAATTAACCACTCAAAAACTGTAAATAGAGCTGTGGCTCAAAGTGGTAGAGTGCTAGCTTTGAGCAAAAAGAGCTCAGGGACAGTGCCCAGAAAAAAAGCCCTATGACTGACTAAAAAAAAAGAAAGAAAAAGAAAAAAAGAATATACTAACATCAAGGGTTCTCAAGTACCTTTCACGATTCCTATTGCTGACTATATAGTTGATCTCTGCAGTTGGATATTTTATGCCCAATTCTCCAAACTACAAACTGAACTTTTGGTCTCACTCCCCAAAGTATGCTCCCTGCTCTACTAGTCTTCTACATCTTCATAAATAGTCTATCACCTGATCTTTTGTTCAAGCCAGTAATGTAAGCATAATATTTCTCTTTCTTTTACCTCCCAGATAGTTCTGACAGGCCACTTCCCTCCTTCAAGCTAACACCACCTCTTGCCTCTTGCTCTACTGACCATCCCCCCTACTTCCTGTCTTGCTCCTCTCCAATGCATTCTCTCCTAAACAGCCAAAATATTTGTAATCTTCAGAATGTCATTCTCCTATATAACCATATTTGTGGTCCATTTTAACTAGAGTAAAATTCAAATCCTGCCTTAGCTTGTGAGAGCCTCTACCCTTGTCTGTTATTACCTTCTTTTTTGTTGTTTTTTTTGTTTCTGTGTGTGTGTGTGTGCAAGTCCTGGGGCTTAAACTCAGAGGCTGGGTGCTATCCCTGAGCCTCTTTATGCTCAAGGCTAGTGCTCTACCACTTGAGCCACATCACCACTTCAGGTTTTTGTGGTTTCTTTTTTTTTTGTTGGTTGTGGGGCCTGAATTCTGAGCCTGGGCACTGTCCCTCAGCTCTTCAGCTGTAGACTAGTGCTCTACCACTTGAGCCTCAGCCTCACTTCCGGCTTTTTCTGCTTATGTGGTGCTGAGGAATTGAACCGAAGGCATGCAAGGCAAGCACTCTAACACTGAGCTACCCTCCCAGGTTCAGGTTTTTATCTGAGTAGTTTATTGGAAATGAGTCTCATAGACTTTCCTACCTGGACTGGCTTCAAACGGCAACCCTCAGATCTTAGCCTCCTGAGTAGGTAGGATGAGCCACTGGCAAGTGGCTTGTAATTACCTTCTTGTTCTAAGTGATCCAACCACACCGACCTTTCAGTTTTTGAAATATGGCAAGTTCTTTCTAACCTAGATGGACATTTATTCCTTTGCCCTGTTCATTTTTTCCCCAGTTCTTTGCAAAGCTGGCTCTTTCTCAACTCTCCCAGGTCTCAGCTAAAGTACTGCATTGATTGACCTATAATTTTACTTAAGAGAGAAAGGGAGCAGCACTGTAGTCAAAGATGTGAAGGTTCCTAGAGAATCTCCCTCAAGATGTATTTACATACAGAACACACTGCTTTTACTTAAAATATAGATCAATAAAAAATCAATGTTGTCTAAAATGCTCTTATTCATACTTTATATAAGATTAAGAAAACATCATCTATCCATAAAAATATAATTTGGAGTACCTTGAGGAATGTGGTAACTGGAAGAGGATGGAGATAATGACTTAAGAGTTTTACATTTTATCTTGGTGCTAAGAGTCTACTGGCATCTTTTAATAGGGCCATGATATAGTTCAATTACAGATTTGGATGAGGAGATTCTAAAAACTAAAGACCAAGCTGGGTGCCAATCGCTCACGCCTGTAATCCTAGCTACTCAGGAGGCTGAGATCAGAGGATGTAGATTCAAAGCCAGCCCAAGCAGGAAAATTCATGAGACTCATCTCCAATTAACCACCAGAAACCAGAAGTGGCTCTGTAACTCAAGTGATAGAGTGCTAGCCTTGAGCTGAAGAGCTGAGGAACAGAGCCCAGGCCCAGAGTTCAGGCCCCACGGCTTTTAAAAAAATAATAAAAAGGCAAATTCACTTAAGAAGACCATGTGGGATAAGTTAAAAAGGCTGAGACCAAAATGCTAAGGAGCATCATCATTTAGTGTTAAGTACATCAAAAGTAACTAGCAGAGAAGATCAAGAAAGATGTTCATGAAGCTAAGATACCAGGAAAGAATGGTCATGAAACCCCAGATTGGAGCATTAACAAAGTCAAAATTTTCTCTAATCCCACTGGAAAGGAAACTCTAGCTTCATAGAGTTGCTTTGTTCACCTGTGCATCTCTACTGCTGGGAGACCTGGCTAATAAATACTCAAAAGCATATCCTGAATAAATAATAAAGCCAACTATTTAAAAAACATAAAATTATTAGAACACAAAAACTAAGAAGCATCCACTGTACTTAACAATGTGAGATGTCATTGATCAACTTGCCCAGAGCAATTTCGTGGAATGGCAAGATGAAATGAAAATGACTTGAGAGAAATGACAATGTTTTCATGCATGACTTTTCTACTTTCATATTTACAAGCATTCTTGGATTAGGTTTGATCCTAGCACCTAGAAGGCTGAGGAAGGCGAAATGCTAAATTTGAGCGTAGCCTGGACTACAATGATAAGACCTTGTTTCAAAGCAACAAAGAAAATGTCTTGGGCTTGCAGGTGTTCTCACTGGGAGAACGACTGCGGAGCATGTGTGAGGCTCTGGGTACCATCTCCAGCTTGGGGGTGGGGGTGACGCTTAAAAGTTTATGGGAGGGGCTGGGAAGTTGGCTCAGTGGTAGAATGCTTGCCTCACATGCATGAGGCCCTGGATTCGATTCCTCAGTACCACATAAGCAGACAAAAGCCAAAGTGGCGCTGTGGCTCAAGTGGTAGAGCTCTTGCCTTGAGCTGAAGAGCTGAGGGACAGCGCCCAGGCCCAGAGTTCAGGCCCAGGACAGGACCCGTCCCCCCAAAAAAGAATGAATTACTGGGGCTGGGAAGGTGGCAGTAACAGAGTGCTTGCCTCGCTCGATTCCTCAGCATCACATAAACTTGTAATCTTCGCTACTCAGGAGGCTGAGATCTGAGAATTGCAGCTCAAAGCCAGCAGGGGCAGGAGAGTCCATGAGATGCTTATCTTCAATAAACCACTAAAAAACCAGAAGTGGCACTGTGGCTCAAGTGGTAGAGCGCTAGCCTTGAGCTGAAGAGCTGAGGGACAGCACCCAGGCCCAGAGTTCAGCCCATGACCGACAAAAAAAAAAAGTTTATAGGAAACCAGGCATGGTGGTCCACAGATGTAAATTGTGAGCCCCAGCGCTCAAAAAGTTGAAAGAAGTATCAAAATCAACTTTTTTTAAATTTACAGGGAGAGTGGAAGTGTAGCAATAGACACTGCCCATTCTTGGATGACACTTCGTTATAGGAGAAAAACGAACAGCAAGTTACAGTTAAAAGTGAAATAGCATCAAAAGAAATTTTTCCTTAAAATGGGAGGAAACTTGCTTTGTTCCCTGTCAAGTCGCCTGAGCTTTGGCGACAATTCAATCGGGCTTTGGAGTGGCTAGTGATGGGCTTCAGTGATAGCGTTGAACAAGGACTGTAGCTCTTTGCTTTTAGATTTGGCAGACACCGTGAAGGATCAAGCTCGATCCGTGATAGCACCCACTCACCCACCCTGGGCCACTCGGAAAGCAGGGACCAGGAGGTTGACAGCCAGGCGGCGAGCGCGCTACAGTGGCGAGGTGGGTGGGGACAGCAAGTCCCGCCTGCTGACAGGCCTTGCAACTTCAGCCCTAAGCCTACTCCGTTTACAGCAGGCCCCTCCCAAAGTGACTCCAGTCTACTACTTGCCTTGTGTGAAGCGGAAATGACGCGTTTGTCGTACACGATTGGCGGAACCAGAAATTGCTTTGCGGCCTGCCCAGAAACTGGTTTCCTTTTGGCTTCCGCCCTTTGCCCATGTGTGAGAAGCAGGCTACTGCGATGAACGTGACCCAGGCTGCCGAGGGGTAAGGGCAAAAAGGGCAGGGTGATTCAGGGTCCCGGGGGTCGAATTCCCTGGCTTTTGAGAAGTAGAAGTCCCTCTTAGGAAACAGCAATCGTTCCCTTCCCACGATCTGGCCACTATGTATTATTGCTGCTATCCAGCATTTAAAGCCCTTTAATATTGTTTATTCTGCTCCCTCTACTCATCAGCCTTTTAGTCGCATCCTTTTTGGTCCTGGTGATGGCTCTGCTACCGAAGCGAAGTTAAAAATGTTTCACTTTCTAAGTCACGTGACCCCTTTTTTCTGCCTCTGCGGGACCAGCTTGAGCCACCAGCACTGGTCGCGCAGGAGCTGTATTGGAGTCACAATACATCCCAATTTTTCTCCTGTAATGTTTCCTATGTTCTCTTCAATAGGGAAAGTAAATGTGATCAGTTTGGTCATGTTTGTTCTGTAAATAGCTGTTTATGCTGTGAAGTCTTGGTAGACTCAGGAATTTTTTCTGGGCACCAATTTCCTTGCTTCAGCATCTACTTTAACAGCCAAGCCCCAGGGAAGATGGTTCACTCCGCTACTTTTAACCATTCCCCTATTTCTGGGAACGGGTGATGAAATGACCATTTCAGGTAGGCTGCACCTAATCTAAGTGTTTAAGGGGTGTAGTAGGTACAGAAATAGAAATACTAATAGTGACACTGCCTTGTCTCAGGGCCAGCAATACTGTCTTCTACTTTGCCTAAGGCCATTTTTTTTACAGCTTCCTAGAGATCTATGGGAAATGCACTGAGAATCACTTAGGAGTGTTAACTTCGTTTTCATTATCTTTTGTATGGCGACTACCAATTACTATTTAACATGAAGGTAATGCCTGACTTCTATCTAAGTTTAACAGCTTGACAAATTTCTAAAGGTGTTCGCTTTCCTGGGGATAGAGCTATTCTGTGCAGAGAACTGAAGATGTAATTGTTTAAATAGGATAAGAGTTATTTCAAATGCTAATAATCACACTGTTACCTTTTTAAAACAGCCTTCTTGCTTTGAGTCAGCAGGAAGAACTGGTGGATTTACCAAGCAACCACCCATTGAGTGCCAGTGAAGATGAGGTAAGTGATGAGTGCCTTGGGAATTTGGGGACTATATAAACAGTTACAATCACACTGTATTGAGTTACTTAGGTATAGTTTATAATACCATAATACATGATCCTCATTTTATGATTTCTCAAGTCTGTATTTCTGTAGAGAGTTATGAGATAGAGTTACTGAGATAGATAGATAGATAGACAGATAGATATTAGGTGAGATGCTTCAGAATGTAGAATGTATTCTGCTGACAAAACTAAATTGTGTGTGGGAGGACACATAGCACCTATTTGATAACAAGGAAAAGCTAGATATTTTAATGCTTGCCTAGTAGTATTTTTGTTGTTTGTCTTTCTTCCCTATGATAGATGTTTTCCTCTTAGAAAAAGCCACTTATATATTCATGGCTATGATTTATGTGATGTAGCAGGGTTTCTTTTTCAAGTCACATTATTCATTCTATTTAGAAACATTTTTAAAGCCCTTTTCCCTCAAACAAGGGAGAGGCACATTAATTCACAAGCTTAGCAAGATCTATGTTCTCTATAGTAAGGATGTTGGAATTTTGAAGCAGTTCTTTAGCTTGGGTTAGAGTGTTTATAAATGGGAACTCTGATTCCCCAGTTCTCCACTGACAAAAAAAGAATTTAAGTGGAAAAGTTGTCTTTTCCCCATCCTCTTCATTCTGCTGATTTTTCTTTTCTGTGTCTAGGAGGATGGTGATGGAGAAAGAAAGCATCAAAAGCTTCTGGAAACAATCAGTTCCCTTAATGGAACTAATAGGTAACACTCCCATTCGTTTACACAGGTTTATAACTGGCTGATTCCATGAGGCTTCTCTGCAATTAACATTTATCCAGTCCCTAGTGTAAAGACCCTCACACTAGTGCCCAGCATATAGTAAGCATTATATATAATTGTTACTAGCTGTTATCCTATTTTGAAGCATTGAGTAGGCACTACTTATCATCATTAGAGAAACTAATTGAAGTATCCCTATGGCCATCCAGATCTTAAGTGGCAAAACCAGGATTCAAATTCAGGTGTATAAGCTGGGTGCCAGTGGCTCATGCCTGTAATCCTAGCTAATCTGTAAGCTGAGATCTAAGCATCACGGTTCAAAGCCAGCCCAGGCAGGAAAATCTGTGAGACTTATCTCCAATTAACCACCAGAAAACCAGAAGTGGTGCTGTAGCTCAAGTGGTAAAGTGCTAGCTTTGAGCTGAAGAGCTCAGGGAAAGTGCCCGGGCCCAGAGTTCACGCCCCATGACTGACCCCCCCCCCCAAAAAAAAAAAATTCAGGTATGCTAGATTTTAAGTCCAATGCATCTTCCATTAAGCTTACCTTTTATTACCTTGTGCTTTTGAAGGGCTGAGTCTGCCTCAAAAAATGAAATGTGGGTTAGACTACCAAGTACATGTTATGAACAGATGTATTCGTTGCTTTATGATAAAAATTGACCCTTGAAGAAAATTACATATAAAAACTAATGCTGGTTTTGAAAAAAAATAAGATTGGATCAGTGTTGTATCTCAGTACCTGGCTAGCATGCACAAGGCCCTGTATTCCATCCCCAACACTGCAGAGAGTGAGGCTGCTATTTGGTTTCCCTGTAAGAAATGTCCATTTCTATTATATTATTTTGCCTAATTCAGGTGGAAGTTGACTGAGAGATCTGAAGCTAGTTTGAAGGTGTCAGAGTTCAATGTCACTTCCAAAGGTAAGTTGAACAAAGATCTGTGCATGACACTTGTATAATTCTGTATTATACCATAAATGCTTGCCTGTGAGAGTGGATTAGGAAGGGTGGTCAGACACCATTCTGTTTCCTCTGTTTCTAGAATAGAAGCAAAAAAGTCAGGTTTGCTCAAAGTCCCCTAAGAAGCTTCATGAGATACATATGGGATCGAAGGACATGACTATAAATAGCTGCCTCTTACTAGCTTACTCATTTGCTTAGCTCTTCAGTGTTCACAGTTTCATTCATTTATTTCAGGTATAATAATACTAAGTTAGGACAGGCAGATATTCTCTTCAGCTAGTGCTCAGAGAAGTAAGATTGCATATTCAAAGTTATTTACATAGTATGATGTTTCTCTACTCTTTACTGTTCCTTTGGGGAGCCTTATTAGACATTTTAACTTCGTTGTCTTCCCCTCCAGAAAATCTCTACCTAAGGAGAAAGATCATGTTGAACACAAGCTGAACCTAGGAAGTACACAAAATTTTGTAGCGTCTATGTGTCTAAACAGCTACTTGTCTATCTCTTGGGTAAAGAGACAATATGATGCCTGCTGAAAATACATGCTCTAGTGAGTGGCAGGGTTGGCATTTTAAACTGATATTGAGTCTAGATGCCAAACATCTCCATCTTATTCACAACATCAACACCTTGGAATGAATTTGTAGTAACCTTCCAGAGTAGGTAACAATGTATTACAAGCTGATCATTCTGTTTCTTTTTTATTTGTTCTTCTATATGTACCAATGTAGCTGGTGAAAAAAATACATTATTACCATACACCTTACATTCTAGTGGAGGAGGGACAGAATTGAAAATTGTAACAATGATACAATCACTTGCTGAATTAGCTTCTTTAGACTGTTTTTTTCTAAAAAACAAAATCTAATCTTGTAAAGATTGAGGGAGCATTCCACACAAAGCAACACCTGCTAGAAGCATTTTAAAGAAGAAACATATTGGAAGACTGTGAATAGGCAAATATGCCAATAGTATAGTGCAATGACTAGAGGTGAATGGGAACAGAATCTCACAAAGCTATGTCTTTTACATTGATGAGATTCCAAGTATAATGGGGAGCCATTGAAGGGTTTTCAGTGGAATCACGACATGCCGTGATACATTTTCCAAAGATTATTTTGACTACACAGTGAATTACAGTGGGGCAAGAATAGAAGCAAAAAAGTCAGGGGAATGTACATTACTGCTGGGCACCGGTGGCTCATACCTGCAATCCTAGCTACTCAGAAGGCTGAGATCTGAGGATCGCGGTTCAAAGCCAGCCTAGGTAGGAAAGTCTGTGAGAATCTTATTTTATTTTTATTTATCTTTATTATTATTATTTTTTTGGTGGTCATGGGGCTTGAACTCTGGGCCTGGGCACTGTCCCTGCACTCTTCAGCTCAAGGCGAGTATACTATCTCTTGAGCCACAGCGCCACTTCCAGTTTTCTAGTGGTTTGTTGAAGATCAGAGTCTCACTGACTTTTCTGCCTAGGCTATCTTTGAACCATGATTCTCAGATCTCAGCCTCCTGAGTAGCTAGGATTACAGAACCACCAGCACCTGGCAAGTCTGTGAGAATCTTCTCTCCAATTAACCACCAAAAAACTGGAAATGGCACTATGGCTCAAAATGGTGGAGTGCTAGCCTTGAGCAAAAGAGTACCAGGCCCTGAGTTCAAGCCCCATGACTGACAAACAAAAAGAAAGTGGCTAGGAATATGGCTAGTGTAGAGTGCTTGCCTAGCAGGCATGAAGCCCTGGGTTCGATTCCTCAGCATCACATGAACAGAAAAATTCAGAAGTGTTGCTGTGGCTCAAGTGATAGAGCACTAGCCTTGAACAAAAGCAGCTCAGGGACAGTGCCTAAGCCTTGAGTTCAAGCCCCAGGACTGGGGAAAAAATTACTATATTTGGAGTAAATATTTTTCTCCTCTCCTATTCCCCTAACACATTTGGGTACATATGAGTGTTACGGTATTGCTATAATTATGAATAGGAGATTGAAATAAGAAAATCATTCTATGCACATTTGCCAGTCTGCCAGCATTTTCTACTAAGGCTAATCCCTATGTTATATTGAGAGCTAGTCTTCTGAACCTGATCATAAGGTTTGGCCTTCCCACAGGATCAGGAGAAAAGCTGGCCCTTTCAGATCTGCTTGGTCCTGCTAAGGCTTCATCCTCATTGGATACTGTAAAAAAGCAACTGAATAGAGTCAAATCAAAGAAGACTCTAGAATTACCCCTTAACAAAGAAGAGGCTGAACGGGTAAGTTATGGTAAAAGTGGTCCATTAAAATGAAATTCGTTGGGCACAATGGCCCACACCTGTAATCCTAGCCACTCAGGAGGCTGCAATTTGAGGATCACAGTTCAAAGCCAGCCTGGGTTGGAAAATCCATGACTCTTATCTCCAATAAATTGCTCCAAAGAAGCTGGAAGCAGACCTATGACTCAAGTGGTAGAATGCTAACCTTGAGCAAAAGCAGCTAGCACCCAGATATTGAGTTCAAGCCCCAGGATGGGGGGGGGGAGGGAGAGAGGGTAGAAGAGACGGAGAGGGAGAGGAAGGGGGAGGGAGAGGAAAAGAGGGAGGGGGCTCGCTACAATCCCAGCAATGAGAAGGCTAATTCAGGTCATAGAGAGTTCCAGGCCATCTTGAGCTACATAGTGAGAACCTTTTTGCACACACATACACACATGAGTTTAGGGAAGGTTATAAAAATGGAAAGAAGAGGGGCTGGGAAGGTGGCTCAGTGGTAGAGCGCTTGCCTTGCATGCCTGAAGCCCTGGGTTCAATTCCTCAGCACCACATAAGCAAAAAGAAAAAAGCTGGAAGTGGCGCTCTGGCTCAAGTGGTAGAGTGCTAGCCTTGAGCTGAAGAGCTGAGGGACAGCGCCCAGGCCCAGAGTTCAGGCCCCATGACTGGACCCGCCCCCCGGACTTCCCCAACAAAAACAAATGGAAAGAGGAGGAATGGTGGTCTCCTACCATGAGCAAAATCAAAAAATACTCTATAGGGGTAGTTGCAGTCTTGAAATAAGTAAATGTCTATCTCTAGCATCCTGACCCTTTAACAAACATTGTCTCTTAATTTTTTTATTAATCCTTTTATTTTGATCATAATCCTGGCCCTTTTATGTACCTTGCCTGCTTTAGATCCACAGAGAAGTAGCATTCAATAAAACCTCACAAATCCTCTCCAAATGGGATCCCATCGTTCTGAACAACCGACAAGCAGAACAGCTAGTTTTTCCAATGGAGAAGGAGCCACCAGCCTATGTTCCAATTGAGCATGCATTCCATGGCTGGAAGGTAAGTACAACAAAATGTAACGTTCCAGGGTAAGATCACACAATTCAGAGTTGTCTGAACTTTCATGTCATTTGAATAAACAGGTTAAACCTAAATGCCAGTTACAGTCAATTTTGTAGTCAGAGAAAGAAGAAAGGGTATAGCAAGGTGTTTATGATTCGTCGTAAATTCTTGTTTTGTTGTGGTGCTGGGGATTGTGCTCAGCAACTTACACATGCTACACAGGTACTCTACCTATGGAGCTATACACCCAGCCTTCTTTTCTTGTAGGCCCCTAGGCTTTTGTTTTTTGGTGTTTTGTTTTGTTTTTGGCAGTACTATGGGTGGAACTCAGAGTCTTGTTTTTACTGAATAAGCACTACCATTTAATCCATCCCTCCAGCCCTTCTCTAGTTCTTTTGTTTTTGTTTTGCTACCTCAACTCTTACTCATCTTGCCCAACTAGTATTCTACCTCTTGAGCTATGCATCCCTTACTTTGTCAGTTGTGGGGCTTGAACTCATATCTCAATCTCCTGAGTAGCTAGGATTATAGGTATGAGCCACCAGCGCTTCCGTTACTTTTTTAAAAAATCGTTTACTCATATTTTTCATCCTTAGAAAATCAGAAACTTAGTAGCATTGATGATGCCCCAGTGAGGATAAATGAACAAGAGAACCCACAGTTGGCTTATAAAAGAATCCAAAACCAAAATACAACATTGATGGTAAAGGCTACAACTTTAGCAAGTGACTCATCTAAGCTTTAAGGTGCGAAAGTACTATTTTAGAACTGGGTTTCTCAAACACTGACTCCATTTTTTTGCCAGTCATTGGGCTTGAACTCAGGGCCTGGGCACTGTCTGAGCTTTTTTTTTGTTCAAAGCTAGTGCTCTACCACTTGAGCCACAGCACTACTTCCAGCTTTTTTGTTTATGGGGTACTTAGGAATCAAACCCAGGACTTCATGCATACTAGGCAAGCACACTACCACTACGCCACATTCCCAGTCCCTCAAACACTGGCTCTTGATAAAGTTTTTATCCTTTTAGAAAAAAGGATAATTGCCAAGTCTTTTAGTCTGGTGAGTATGATGTTGCCAAATCTTCCTTATTATGGTATTATTCTTTCCACTGTGATGGTGTTGAAATATCTTTATTAAAATAAATTATGGTGGTTGCAAATGATAGTTTGGGGGTGGAATAGTAGTTAAGCTCATGACACAATTAAAAGTTAGTAATCCTAAATTCACCATTACTGAGTCTATGAACAACTGCTTACAATTTCTAGGCTAATTTTCAAGTATACCACTAGTATCCTTATGTGGGATGATTTGTGTTAAAGAGAAATAGTCAAATACAACAATGCCTAAAACATGAATGAATACATTTCTTTTTCCTTCAAAAAAATCTCTTTCAAAAAATCCAGGAATGATAGTCTTTTTATGTCATGTCATTGAGTTAACTAAAGTTACTTGCTACTAAAATTTGAGCAAATAAGTTGTTTACAAGGGAATAAGTTCTATATTCTGGTGGGGTTTTTTTGTTTTGTCAGTCATGGGGCTTGAACTCAGGGCCTGGTGCTGTCCCTGGGCTTTTTCGCTCAAGGGTACAGCTCTAACACTTGGAGCCACAAGCTACTTTTGGTTTTCTGGTGATTGGAGATAAGAGTCTCATGGGTTTCCTTCCCCAGCTGGCTTCAAACCATGATCCTCAGATCTCAGCCTTCTGATTAGCTAGGATTACAGGCATGAGCCACAGGTACCAGGCTCTGATGTTGTTTTTGAAGTCACCTCAATTCTCTTTCTAGGGTGCTTCCTTTCCCACATGAAACAAAGATCAGGTATATAGTATGGCTGCAGGATGAAGGGAGACTTTAGGAGAAAAAAATTTAAGAGGTAATATTCAAAAATAAAACGTGGGGGCTGGGAAGGTGGCTCAGTGATAGAGTGCTTGCCTTGAATGCATGAGGAATCGAACCCTTGGGTTCAATTCCTCAGCAACACATAAGCAGAAAAAGCTGTAAGTGGTGCTGTGGCTCAAGTGGTAGAGTGCAAGCCTTGAGCTGAAGATCTGAAGGGCAGTGCCCAGGCCCAGAATTCAAGCCCCACAGCAAAAAATAAAACATGGCTGAGCACTGGTGGCTTATGCCTGTAATCCCAGCTACTCAGGAGGCTCAGATCTGAGGATTGTGGTTAAAAGCTAGCCCAGGCAGGAAAGTATATGAGACTCTTATCTGTAGTTAACCATCAAAAAGTCTGGAATTGGAGTTTTGGCTCAAGTGGTGGAACACTGATCTTGAGCAAAAGAAATAAAAGTGCTCAGGGTCAGTGCACGGGCCTGCCACCAAAAAAAAATGAGTTGGGCATCATATAGTACATGCCTGTAATCCTACCCCTAAGGAGGTAAGGCCAGAGTATCTCAAATTCAAGACCAGAATAAGACATAGAGCAAGATTCTGCCTCAAAAACATGTTAAAATTTAAGCTTTTACAAAATGAAGTAAATCTCTTTTTTAATCTAATGAGGATTGTACTTTGGGAAGAGCTAGTCTCCAGTGCTAGTCATCTCTCCTGCTCTGTAAACTTCATGAGTTGGCTGCTTCTCTTAATCCCCTCTGAGCTTCAGTTTCATAGTCCATGTGACTAACAGGTGTCACCTGGGTCTCCCATGTGCACCTTACACTTTGCACAGTTCAAACTGAGCTTCGTATTTCCTTTCCCCAGACTCCTCCAGCTTTTATCCTCACCTTCAGTCTATAACTCAGTTAATAGCTTAACTCTCTACTCAGGCCACTTTAGTTGAAGATGTCACCTCTCTGGTTTCTACATGTTCTGTTCACTGCCCACTGCTTAGCCCACACAGTGGCCTACTCTTGTAAATTCCATTATGGCTCCTAGATGCCTGTTTCCTCTCTATATTTTCATTTTCCCTACCCCAGCTGAGGCCCTAGCCTTTCCTGTGTTTTTCTTTTTTGACAGTAGTCAGGAATTTTTTTTCTGAAACACAAAACTGATTGTCACTCTCCTACTTAAAATCCATTAAAAACTGTGGGATGGGAAGGTGGCTCAGTGGTAGACTACTCGCCTTGCATGCATAAGGCCCTGGGTTCGATTCTTTAGCACCACATAAGCAGAAAAGGCCAGAAGTGGCACTATAGCTCAAATGGTAGAGCGCTAGCCTTGAGCTGAAGAACTGAGGGACAGTGCCCAGGCCCAGAGTTCAGGCCCCAGGACTGACAAAAAAAATCCATCAAAGACTGAGGACAATACACAGTTATACCACTCATTTCCTGAATACCTATGTTTTTGATTATGCTTACCTATGGAGTTTTCCCCCACCTGAAAGAATTGTACTTAAACCTCAATGCCTAATTCAAAAGGTCAGTTCTCTTACCCATCTAACCCACCTTCCTTCTAATCAGAATTAATGGTTCTTTTGTGCTTACCCCTATAAAATAATGTTTAGCCCATTTAATGTGGTAGCATGTATGTCTCTTCACTATGAAAAACTATGAGCTCTGAGGACAGGAACTATGTTAATTAATTGTGTATTCCTAGCACCCCACACAAGTGCCTGGAATGTAACTGCAATCAATAAGTGTTGGTAAATTGAACTGAATTGAAGGGGGATTACAACATGGTAATATAAATCATTTTGTAGCCTGTGATTGATCACTACTGCAAATACTAAAAATGGAAGAACATGTACCTTTACTATTCAATAAAATAGGTTTATGGTTAAATCAATAGTACTGTGTAACATGTGATGATGTGTGCTTACGCATTTGTCCAGATATTTGTAAGTTTAATACTGATTGTGATATATATGGCTATTGAAGAAAACCACACATAATATGTGTGTGAGGTTTGAAAGTGGCTCGGTTGCCTAGGGCTGTCTTTGTACCTTGTCAGGGTGGACAATGGTATAATTGGCCTGATTATTTTAACCATCTTCACAATGTCAATCAAGCAGCAAATGGGGCTTTTTGTTGACATGTGAAATAACTGGTCCACAGTTCATTCATTTCATACATATAAATACCACCTAGCATGCAAAATTGAGTGGAAATGGAGGAATTGCAGCCAAACTTAGAAAATGAATAGTTATAGTTGAACTGTTGGGAAGCAGGCTAATTATATATGAAGGTCATATTTGTTAAGGTAAAACACATACCCTGCCATGAAGTAAATAACTAGTGGGATGCATCTAAAAATGACATGTGTTTTTCTTGTTTCTTTTCATCAGTAATTAATAATATCAACACCTATACATAGTTCATAACAGTTACCTCTGGTTTTAAATGGTTGGGAGCTGGGTACATACCTGTTATCTTAGCACTTGTAGGCTAAAGCAGGAAGCATCAAGACCAGCCGTGGTGATATAGTAAAAATCTTGTCTCAATAAAAAGTAAATAAAAAGTTGGGATTTCTCTCTGAGACATCACTGCAGATCAGTTTCCAAGTTCATCATTGATAAATAGTGGGTTGTTTTTGTTTTTGTTTTTTCCAGTCTTGCAGTTTGAACTCAGGGCCTACGCACTGTCCCTAACCTTCTTTTGCTCAAGGCCAGCACTCTACCACTTGAGCCACAGCACCACTTCTGACCTTTTCTGTTTATGTGCTGAGGAATCAAACCCAGGACTTCATGCATGCTAGGCAAGCAGTCTACCACTAAGCCACACTCCCAGCCCCAGTAAATAATGTTTTTTAAACTACCCTGCCCTTTAGTAATATTCTTCTTTTATGTGCTGGTACTGGGGCTTGAACTCAGGGCCTCACACTAAGCTATTTCACTCATGACTGTTGCCCCATGCCTGTATTTCTGGCTTTTTGCCAGATAATTGGTGATGAGTATCTTATGCACTTGTCTGTTCAGTCTGCTTTGAACCATGATCCCCAAGTCTCAACCTCTTGAGTAGCTAGGATTCAAAACATGAGCCATCACTCCCAACTAGAAATATTCTTTAATTTGCTTTTTTGTGCCAATACTGAGGCTTGAACTCAGAATCTGGGTGCTGTCCTTTAGCTTTTTCTCTCAAGGCTAGCACTGTATCACTTGAGCCACTTCCAACTTTTTTAATTGGAGATACACACACATACACACTAAGTAGGGAATATTTGGACTTTAAAACTCTGACAATCTTGTACTACTGTTTCTCTGTCTTGCCAGCTTTTATCTCTTTTTTTTTTGTTTTGGTTATGGGACTTGACCTCTGGTCCTGGGCACTGTCCCTGAGCTCTTCAGCTCAAAACAAGTGCTCTACCACTTGAGCCACAGCGCCTCTTCCTATTTTCTGGTGGTTAATTGGAGATAAGAGTCTCATGGACTTTCCTGGCCAGGCTGGCTTTGAACCACAATCCTCAGATCTCAGCCTCCTGAGTAGCTAGGATTACAGACGTGAGCCACCAGTGCCTGGCTCCAGTTTTTATCTGAAGAGCATCCTGCTTAGGTTCTTAAAGAGGATTCAATTCTCTTGTATATACATTGATAACCTGAACACAGAGTCATTTCCCCCTCAGTAATATTGGAAACTGACCTGAGCTCTCCAGCTGAAGTTATCTCTTGTGTGTGTGTGTGTGTGTCTGTCTGTCTGTCTGTTGGTCTGACGGTCTGTGGTCTGTCTGTCGGTCTGTGGTCTGTCTGTCGGTCTGTGGTCTATCTGTCGGTCAGTCAGTCATGGGGCTTGAACTCTGGGCATGGACGCTGTCCCCTCAGCTCTTCAGCTCAACACTAGCAATCTACCACTTAAGCCACAGCGAAACTTCTGGTTTTCTGGTGGTTAATTGGAGGTGAGAGTCTCATGGACTTTCCTGGCCAGGCTGGCTTTGAACCACAATCCTCAGATCTCAGCCTCCTGAGTAGCTAGGATTATAGGCATGAGCCACCAGCACTCAGCTTGAAGTTATCTTAAATCAGAATTATTTTTGTCAGTCTTGGAGCTTGAACTTGGCCTAGAAACTGGAGCTTTTCTGCTCAAGGCTAGTGCTCTACCACTTGAGCCACAGCACCACTTCTGATTTTCTGGTGGTTAATTGGAGATAAGAGTCTCACAGACTTTCCTGCCTGGACTGGCTTTGAACCACAATCCTCAGATCTCAGCCTCCTGAATGGCTAGGATTATATATGTGAGCCACCAGCACCTGACCAGAATTTTTTTATCACCATAAAATAAGGTTTTGCCTGCACCTCTGACTAGCTAGACTGGGATCCCTTTATCTTTGTGAAGTAACCAATTCTATGCAGCTAGAGATTTTAATTGTGGCTTAATGAATTAGACAGCTATAGGAATATATATATATATATATATATATATAGAGAGAGAGAGAGAGAGAGAGGGAGAGGGAGAGAGAGAAAGAGAGCTTAAAGAGTGTGGATTAAGATTTAGAATGTTTTGTTACCTCCTTAAGGCAACAACTCCCCTGGAGCAGGAAGTTTTTAACCTCCTCAATAAGAACAAGCAGCCAGTGACAGACCCTTTACTGACTCCCATGGAAAAAGCTTCCCTCAAAGCCATGAGCCTGGAAGAGGTAAGTATCATAGGTGCTTTGACAGCCCCAGGCATGCTATGCTTCTCCTTGCATTTGACCTCAAGTCCAGGAGTCACTGTAAATGTCATTCATTGTAGGCTAAGATGCGCCGAGCAGAGCTTCAAAGGGCACGAGCTCTGCAGTCCTACTATGAGGCCAGGGCTCGAAGAGAGAAGAAAATCAAAAGTAAAAAGTAAGGAAGCCTTGGGATTCTGATGGAAGAAAATGATGTGGTTAATCATGAACTCTTTGGTCTTTGGAATGGAAGAGGTCCCAAGTAGGAATGACTAGCCTGTTTTTCCTAAACCAACATCACACACTTTTTTTTTGCCTGCTTCAGTAATGCCCTCTGTAGCTCTTGCTTTCATGCTTGACTTTGCCACAAAAAAAGGACTGTTCAGCTACTTTCTTTCCCTCCAAGGCATCATGGAGTGGTTCTGCAGAATGAGTTCTGAATCTACAGCTGGTGGAGCCAGCAGGGCTTCTTTCCTGCTTTTTTTGCCTTTTTGAAATGTGTTCTATTCCTCCCTTGAGCTGTGGAGGTAAAGGGAATACTTTGCTTTGCAGAAGTCGGCCCCTGGGGGCTGGATGGATGCAGGATCTGAGAGATTCCTGGCAGCCTTCTCAGGTACCACAGTGGCTCTCTGCCGTCAGCTAGCTCTGTGATCCATTCTGGCCCCTGCATAAGGAAAACCCTCGGATAGTATGGATACCTTTGCATGTGACATCAGTGCTTCAGCTAAATCCCTAAGCTCTTCCCTCCTCCTCCTGTTACTCTATAGATATCACAAAATTGTGAAGAAAGGAAAGGCTAAGAAAGCTCTAAAAGACTTTGAACAACTGCAGAAGGTAGATCCAAATGCTGCGCTGGAAGAACTGGAAAAAATTGAAAAGGCCAGAATGATGGTAAGGTTGCTTCTTACTTACCATACCTTTGAACCAATTTGCCCTGGAAGGCCCTAAAGATTTAATTCTGTCCTTCCTTTTCAGGAACGAATGAGCCTTAAACACCAGAACAGTGGGAAATGGGCCAAGTCAAAGGCTATTATGGCCAAATATGACCTAGAGGTAAGCGATCACCAAGGTGAAAAAAGAGATGGAATTGGAGGGAACAAAGGAAAATCAGTTCATGAGTATGCTAGAGGAAGCAGAGTTGAGGAAGAGCCGTGAATGAAAAACAAAGAATGGGGGCTGGGAAGGTGGCTCAGTGGTAGAGTGCTTGCCTTGCATGCCTGAGGCCCTGGGTTCGACTCCTCAACACCACATAAGCAGAAAGAAAAAAGCCAGAAGTGGCGCTGTGGCTCAAGTGGTAGAGCGCTAGCATTGAGCTGAAGAGCTGAGGGATAGTGCCCAGGCCCAGAGTTCAGGCCCCACAACCAGACCCCCCCCCCAAAAAAAAAACAAAGAACATGAATGAAAAACAAAGAATCTTAAAAGACATTAGGAACAAAGGAAGGGGTGACATTGACCAACAAGCATTGTACTCATAACCTTACTTAGGAATTGTAACCTCTTTGTACAACATAATTATTATTATTATTATTGTTACAAAAATAAAAATAACCAAGTTCTGGTGGCTCAAACTTGTAATGCTAACTACTCAGGAGGCTGAGGATCTGAAGATCATGGTTCAAAGCTAGCTCAGGAGAGACTCTTCTCTACAATTAACCACTAGAAAAATAGAAGTGGAGCTGTGGCTCAACATGGTAGAGTGCTAGTCTTGAGCAAAAGAAGCTCAGGGACAGCACCCAGGCCCTAAGTTCAAGCCCCACGACCAGCTTTTTTTTTGTCAGTCATGGGGCTTGAACTCTGGGCCTGAGTGCTGTCTCTAAGCTCTTCAGCTCAAGAGAGTGCTCTACCACTTGAGCCACAGCACCACTTCTGGTTTTCTAGTGGTTTATTGGAGAAAAGAGTATCACAACTTTCCTGCCCGGGCTGGCTTTGAACCGCGATCCTGAAATCTCAGCCTCCTGAGTAGCTAGGATTACAGGCGTGAGCCTCCAGCACCCGATGTCCAGGACCAGCTTTTTAAAAATAAATAAAAAATAAAAAAGCATCAGGAAAAAGAGTTGAAAGGGAAAGAGCACTGAAAGCAAATCCAGTAGAAGGGGAAAATAGCTCTTATGAATTATGTTTCAGTATTGATTCCTTGAGGACAAAGAGTTTGTCTTCTGTTTTATTCCATAGCTACTAATACAGTGTTATATGTGGAGTTTAAATACTAGATAACCAGTAAGAAATACTTCCATCAAGTTGAATGGAAGCATGGCAGCTTTGAGAAATGGACCAGGAAAGCTGTTGTTGTGGTAACAAATGACAATGCTCTCATGTTGTGACTCCCTTCTCCAGGCTCGCCAAGCTATGCAAGAACAATTGGCTAAGAATAAAGAACTAACACAGAAACTCCAAGTCATATCTGAGAGTGAGGGAGAGGAGGGAGAAGCAGAAGAGGAAGAACCCCTTGTCCCTGATGCAGTGAATGAAGTACAGATGAATGGGGGTGGCACAAATCCCTGGATGTTCAGGAAGTACAATGGTGATGCAAAAGAGGGGGAAATCCAGGCAGACCCTGAGGACCCTGAACAGCTGCCTGAGACTGTGGCCCATGAGTTTTCTGAAAGTGAAGAAGATGAAAGACCAGTGGAAGAGGAAGAAGTTTTGTTGCAAGAATTTGAGGAAAAGAGATCCCTTAGAAAAAGATCTGAGCTCAACCACAACGCTAAGCCAGTGGACAGCCAAGAAACAAAAGGTGAGCTATGACTAAATGGAAGGGACAGCTTCATTTTGCTAGAGATGGACTGAGGGAAAAATAAGGGTCCACCCACACATGCTGCATAGTGATCAGGCTCTGGGGAATTTCAAGAGTGAGCATACTAGGTCTCTGATGTGAAATTCAATTCATAAGAACCATTTTTCTTCAAAGACATTTGATAAGCATTCATCTGCATGGTTTTACAGTGTGCTCAGACAAATTTTCTGCTTTTGGGTGCTCATAGTCTTCAGAAAGACTTAACTATCCTTCAGGTAGGATGACTTCACATTCCTGGTACCTATATACAGGTGCATCTGTTAGTATGGTAAATCAGAAAATCCACACTAATAGACTCATATATGTGCATTTGGAATTGTGACTCTGCTCAGACTCTGTGTTAGATTTTTCTACTAATTGTGTGTGTATGTGTACATGTGTGCATGCATGTGTGCATGCATGCTAGAACTAGGTATTGAAATTAGAACCTTGTGCTCTTATTTGCCATTTTTTTCCTGCCCAAAGCTTGCACTCTATCATTTGAGCCACAACTCCACTTCTGTCTTTTTTGCTGGTTAAGTGGACATAAGAGTCTCATGGACTTTTCTTTTCTGGCTGGCTTTGAACCTAGATCCTCAGATCTTAGCCTCCTGAGTAGCTAGGATTACAGGCATGAACCACCAGTGCCTGACTTTTTTACCCCCCCCCTTTTTTGGGTCAGTTGTGGGTCTTAAACTCTGGGCCTGGGCGCTGTCCTTGAGCTCTTCAGCTCAGGGCTAGAGCTCTACCATTTGAGCCAGAGCACCACTTCTGGTTTTCTGAGTGGTTTATTGGATATAAGAGTTTTGTAAGCATTCCTGCCTGGGATGGCTTTGAACCGAGATCCTCAGATCTCAGCCTCCTGAGTAGCTAGGATTTCAGGCGTGAGCCACTGGCACCTGGCTACTTTTACCCCTTATCTTGAGTAATTATTTAATTTATTTGTTTATTGTAGTATTGGGGATTGAAACTAGAGCCTGATGCATAGTAGGAATATGAACAGTGTTAGTGCCCATGATGCTGGTTAGAGATGACGTGGACATTGTAATGCCTGCTTAGGAAACTACCTCCAAGTAGAAATCACCTAGCTGTGGACAGATTCTCAGCTCTGATTTAATTACATTGTAAAAAGTTGTCATTAGAATGTATTGTGAAAGGCTTTACATGTACAAGTAGTCACTTCCTGAGGATCACGAGCCCAGGAGTTCAAGGCCAGACTGGGCAATATGGTAAAAATTCATCTCTTAAAAAGGGAGGAGAAACAAACTGGTCATTAAGCTGGTGGCTCATGCCTGTAATCCTAGCTACTCAGGAGACTGAGACCTGAGGATCGCAGTTCAAAGCTAGCCCAGATAGGAAAGTCCATAAGACACATCTCCAATTAATCAACAAAAAAATTCAGAAGTGGAGCTGTGGCACACAAGCAGTAGAGCCCTAGCTATGAGCAAACCAACTAAGGGAAAATGCCCAGGCCCTGAGTTCAAGCCCCAGGATCAGAAAAAAGTCATCTAGCCAGATTTATAGAGCTATTAGATGTGGTATGGAAGTATGAAAGATAGATTTGAATTTCCTTTGATACAGAGAAAAATTTCCCAAGAAGTCATGGACCTCAATCAAAATGAACGAGGAAATTTAATTCTTGAGAAAGAAGCATACATGTGTCCTGAGGCCAGAGGCCATATTTAAGGAGCTGCAATGGCTTCAAGCCAAAGCTAGAGAGCAGGTTCTACTTGGGAATGGAGGCAACTTAGTAATTGCAAAGGGCAGTTTAGGAGTATTGTGCATTGCTGTCGTGTTTCCCTCAAGACTCTTGAGACTACAGATATTTGCTCAGATTTTGCCAGTGACTGGAAAATGTGAGCAACATCCACCATAAAAATAGCTACTCTGTCCCTTATTGATTATGAAATCTGCTTTAAAAAATGAAAAGGGAATTCTTAAATCAAGACAAAACCTTTCTAGAAAAGGTTTATACAGGCAGGGAAGCATAAATTACAATGAAGTTGCTTTCAGAAGCCACCTGTTAAAATAGTTCTTTTCATTTTTTTAATTCAGAACTTTAGGATGAAAGAATACCTTGGTCAAGAGTTTGTCTGGCCGGACACTGGTGGCTCACACCTGTAATCCTAGCTACTCAGGAGGCTGAGATCTGAGGATTTCGGTTCAAAGCCAGCCCAGGCAGGAAAGTACGTGAGACTCTCCAATAAACCACTCAGAAAACCAGAAGTGGCACTGTGGCTCAAGTGCTAGAATGCTATCCTTAAGCTGAAGAGCTGAGGGACAGCACCCAAGCCCAGAGATCAAGCCCCACCACCGACAAAAAGAAAAAGAAAAAAAAGAGTTTGTCTGGCATGCACTAGACCCAGCACCCTGTGTACCATGTACTCATGTGTGTGCATGCATTTGTGCGTGCATGTGCATGCTCGCGCGCGTCCACACACACACATACATACACCCACACACAGGAATTTAGGACAGTCTTTCCAATTTATTTGACAGGGAAATTAAACCCCAGGCTTAGTCACATAGCAGTTACCTAGGAGGAGGACCCAAGGTGCCTGCATTCAAGTCCATTGCCTGCTGTTTGTCAGATAGTAGTAAATGGACACTCCAGGAAAATCCAACATATAGAATCTTTCCTTCTGTGTTTGTCCTTGTTGGAATGCTTATGTGGTTCCCAGCACCTAGAGGGTGGGCAGCAAATTCTCATTAACCAGGAAACTTTGTAAACCTTTTTTTTTTTAACAGCTTTTGTTTCCCTCCCAGATTCTAACTGCCAGGAGGTATTATCTGAATTAAGGGTATTGTCTCAGAAACTCAACAAGAAAAACCATCAATCCCAGAAGCAAAAAGTGAATTCAGTGGCGGCTACTCTCCAGGTCCAAGGAGAGGAACCTGCCCCAGAAGAAGAAGAGTCCCTATTGCTGCAGAAGCCAGAGAGAGTACAGACTATGGAAGAACTAGAACAGTTGGGCAAAGAAGAATATTCTGAAAATAAGGATCTCCCCAGACCTGTATTAGAAAGGGAGCAGATAGAAAGGACCCCACGTAATCAGCTTGATGCTCCAAAGGAGAAGACAAAGAAGGAACAAATGATTGATCTACAGAACCTTCTAACTACAAAATCTCCTTCTGTGAAGTCTTTGGCAGTTCCCACAGCTATAGAGGAGTTGGTGAGCAGAGCCAGGGTCATGAGCCATTGTGGGAAATCAGAGCTGCAGAAAGTGTCCCGCACAGAAAGTAGTTTTGCTAGGGGCACATTTCAGTAGCTGAGAGATCCAGAATCTCCAGAATATTATGGGTCTGGGCTGGTCCCTGTGACAGTTTAATGATAGATGCAAATAGGTTGGTACAGCTGAGACACACCCCTTGCCCCCATATATAGCGGGCACCACGCCTGTAATCCTAGCTACTCAGGAGGCTGAGATCTGAGGATCACGTTCAAAGCCAGCCTGGGCAGGCAAGTCCGTGAGACTCTTATCTCCAATAAACTACTAGAAAACCGGAAGTGGCACTGTGGCTCAAGCGGTAGAGCACTCGCCTTGAGCTGAAGAGCGCAGGGACAGTGCCCCCTTACTATATTTCAGGCAGGGTCACTAGAAGATGGGTTTCTGAGCTATTGCCAGTATCTTTGTTCTGGGACTCCCCAATTAAGGAATTAAAACTGCTAAGGTGAAGTACCCTCACCCTGGCTTTTTCAAGGACACAAGCTTGAGGAAGGAAGTGGGCTAGGCCACGTGGCTTTTCTGCTATGCCTTCCTCACCCTACAGCTACTAAAAGCTTTAAATTGTGTCATATGATAATGAGCTAAAGATATTTACCCTAGAGAGAAAGAAAGGAGAATGTTATTGACTACTGATAGATATGTATTGAAAGATGATGCTGTTCAGCACTTGCCCCTAGGGGGTGCTAGAATGTCACGACCCAAAATTTCAAACATACTTGTCTTGAACCACAAAGGCAAGCTATGGTTCTCACTCTTGTTTCTTCCTAGGAAGATGAAGTGGACAGAGACCAAAAGCAGATGATAAAAGAAGCTTTTGCTGGAGATGATGTCATCAGAGAGTTCTTAAAAGAGAAGAGGGAAGCTGTCAAGGCAAATAAGCCAAGGGACGTAGATCTGACACTGCCTGGCTGGGGCGAGTGGGGTGGTGTAGGTCTGAAACCTAGTGCCAAGAAAAGACGCAGGTAAGAATAAGGAAAAATATCTGTCAGAAGGGTTCTGAGTTTTCCAGCTTCAATCTTAAGTATCCCCCCTGAATAAATAGTTTGAGTAAATAGTTAATACTCCTACTGTTTTGTCTTCAGGTTTCTTATTAAAGCCCGTGAAGGTCCTCCAAGAAAAGACAAGAATTTGCCAAATGTAATTATCAATGAGAAGCGCAACATCCATGCAGCAGCTCATCAGGTAAGACTTAGAGAGCTCTCTGCCTGCCCACTTAACTGCCTGGCACTGTTGCTTGGGAAGAGTAGTCTAGTTAGTGATCTATGATCAAGAGGGATGTGTGATCTTGACCATTGAATCAAATCTTTTGTTTTTGCAGTCTGGCTATGAGATCAACAATTCCAGATTGATTATGTTGTACTTATAACTGAGAAGAGGGGTTAGACTAAAAGAATCTTTTCAAGCAATGGTGAAGACACCACATCTGTGTTTTTAACTGGTACCCCAGGTCATTCTAGTATAAATGAGCCTCACCAAAGAAATAGCATTCTACAGACTTCTATTTACAGTTAATATTGTACTCAAACAGAAACCATGAGGTTTGAGCCACATCAAGAAAAATGAAAATGAACTAGTACCTCTTCAGATGTGGAAGGATTTTAAATTGTATCATGTGTTAATAAGATAGTGATGTCTGCAAGACAGACTTTGAGCAAGAAAACTGAAGGGCAGCTGGGCCCTGGTAGCTCAGGCCTATAATCCTAGCTACTCAAGAGACTGAGACCTGATGATTGTGCTTCCAAAGCAGCCCAGGCAAGCAAGTCGGTGAGATTCTTATCTCCAAGTACCCAGCAAAAGCCAGAAGAAGAGGTGTGACTCAAGTGGTAAAACATCAGACAGAAGTGGAAATATGAAACTAGAGTACAGAGCCCAGATTTCAAGCCCCAGTACTAGCATTTAAAATTTCAAAACAAAAAAAGGAATACAGAGCAGAGAATAAAAGGATTAAAATCTACCAGGATCGGGGCTGGGAAGGTGGCTCAGTGATAGAGTGCTTGCCTTGCATGCTCAAGGCCCTGGGTTCGATTCCTCAGCACCACATAAGCAAAAAGAAAAAAGCCAGAAGTGGCACTGTGGCTCAAGT